AAGGCACTGTATATTCTGGGCCAGTGCTAAATATCTCCATTTAAATCATATTCACAATTTAAGATAAATTAAGGGAGGTATTGTACAGTTAATTTTTTAAAATAATGAAAGTACAACTGTAAAAACATTATGAAGAAGCATTGGAAAAAATATGTGTTTATTTGGCTAAAATTGAATTGATTGTGTAGGAATTTAATATCAATATCATTCTTATTTTATAAAAACAAATCAAGTATCCAAGGATACCCATACCCATCCCAAGTATCTTGACATAAATGTTCCACCAACACATAGACGTTTGTATCACGGGTAAATCAAAACTAGGACTACCCTGACAAAAATAGTTAATAACTAAATGCTTAATTTAAACATCTGAGTAATTTTTTGATACCACTCAAAAAATTAAGAGCAATATAACATGATTTATATGATTATATTTGATACAATGATTAATAAAATGAATAATATAAAAATATGCATAGTAATTCAATACTGTGACAGCTAATGTTAGACATATTACATAAACTCTTTCACAGTTCAGTCATCTAAGGCATTTATTCATTGTCCTTATGTCACACTGTCACCACATTGGCAAAGGTTAGCAAGACAGTGAAAACAATCAGTCAGTTTACATATAAACCCTCGAAACTTAAGAATCAGAACAATATCATACAAGCTTTTTAACAGCAGTGCTCATATGTTCATTTCCTGTTTAAAAACGTTTTACTTACTGCATAAATAAATAGATCCATTTATAAAACAAATAAAGAGGTTTAAGGGTTAAAGGTAAAATTAAAAAGGGGTTTTAAAACAGTTACATAAGATGTAGCAAGGACTCCAGTTGGCATCACTTCAGCTTGTTTGTGACGCCTGTATTGTTGAAACTAAGAGTGAAGTCCGAGACAAGAAAATTGAAATGAGACGAGAGAACAGATTGCAGGACAGATGGCAGCATTTCCTGCACCCGTTGTGGGAGATGACAAGGGAGAAGAAAGAATAATCCACTATTTGTGAGCAAGAAAAGAGTGGAGTGGAGCAATGACTAGACAAAAAAAAAAAACAGGAATGTGTAAATGTTGTCTAGTGCTAAATATAACCATTCCATCTTCCTTCTTTTCCTCTCAGGGTCCACCCGGAAACCCCGGACCCCCTGGTCCTCCTGGTCCCCCTGGCCCTGGCATTGACATGTCTGCCTTCGCCGGTCTGGGTCAGACTGAAAAGGGCCCTGATCCTCTCAGGTACATGAGAGCCGACCAGGCTTCTGGAAACCTTCGTCAGCATGATGCCGAGGTCGACGCCACACTCAAGTCTCTCAACAACCAGATTGAGAACATCCGCAGCCCCGAGGGATCCAAGAAGAACCCGGCTCGCACCTGCAGGGACCTGAAGCTCTGTCATCCTGACTGGAAGAGTGGTGAGTGACACTGGGAGAAATTGGTCAAATTGGGGTGAGATGATAGATAAGTTGAAGTTGGGTGACATTTTACGTTGGCAGCTCAACATTTAGGTTAAACACAGTGTGTGTAGTCTAGGAGAGTTTGGATGTGGTTGATCCAGAATCTGTTTTTTAGATGTCAGAATTACACAATATTCCATAACATTATTATTTCCAATGATTATGGTTTTTTTTATGCAGCCAAGGGGAAGTAAAATATGCAAAAAAAAAGCCTGATGTGTTTTTTTTTTCCTGCAGGAGAGTACTGGATTGATCCCAACCAGGGCTGCACCATTGATGCTATCAAGGTCTTCTGCAACATGGAGACTGGAGAGTCCTGCGTCCTTCCCAAGCCTTCTAGCATCCCTCGCAAGAACTGGTGGTCCAGCAAGAGCAAGGACCGCAAGCACATCTGGTTCGGAGAGACAATGAATGGAGGATTCCACGTAAGTGGCACCATGATTTAATGTATTGTAATGCATTTTTATTATTAGCCAATGGCCACTCACACACTGCTGGGATCATCTCTAACCACCATGACCCTGCCCATGATAAGTGGGTGTAGATAATGGATGGACTGTAAAACTGGATTTTCTTTTAAATCAAACAAAAATACAGGTGAAAATCTGATTCATAAAAAAAAAATGTAGCACAAAAAAAAACCGATGAACCTGCTCATCATGAGAAATGCGTAACAGTTCAAATATAAAAAAAAAATGCAACATCCATAATAACAGAGATATTAACTGTTATTCTCACTTCCTCTTCCTTACCTGTGGCCCAATGCAGTTCAGCTATGGTGATGACAGCCTGGCACCCAACACTGCTGCCATTCAGATGACTTTCCTGAGGCTGCTGTCCACCGAGGCTTCTCAAAACCTCACCTACCACTGTAAGAACAGCGTGGCCTATATGGACGCCTCAACAGGCAACCTGAAGAAGGCCGTGCTGCTGCAGGGCTCCAACGACGTGGAGATCAGAGCCGAGGGCAACAGCCGCTTCACTTACAGCGTGATGGAGGACGGCTGCACGGTAAGACTGGAAAGATTTAACATGCATGTACATTACACATAATACTTAAATATATATGCATCTTCTGAATCGTGGGAACATCAGAACATAATATGATTAAACTAGACATCACTTGATCACAATGATAGACATCTGCCTCTCTTACTCTCTGGTGTTCACTCAACTCACCAAGCCAATCCCATTTTATGCAATTTTAGAGAAAGTCATAGGTCATTTAACAGGTGTTGTGTTTTTTTTTTCTCTCTGCACAGAAACACACGGGACAGTGGGGCAAGACAGTGATTGAATACAGATCGCAGAAGACCTCTCGTCTGCCCATCGTGGACATTGCCCCCATGGATATCGGTGGAGCAGACCAGGAGTTCGGAGTCGAAGTTGGGGCAGTCTGCTTCTTGTAAAGAACGAGGGATCGAAAAGAAGAGAAAGAAAGAAGTGGAAATTTGAAAAAAATAAAATGAAAGAAGAGCACACTTCAGATAAAGGAGGAGAGAAAGAGTGAAAAAGAAAAATCAAGACACTTTTTTTAAATGGGACTTTTTTTCTAAGTAAAAAGTGCTTTTTCCAAGTCGAACTCCGTAGGATATCTGCACTGAATGGCACCAGCAATTGTCATCTGTGATTCATCCAGCATTGCCTCCTGTTAACTCGCCCCCCCCCCCTCTACCCCTTATGGACACCCAGCCTTCCCCAAAAGCCCCAATTCACCCTGGGTGAACCCCTACCCCACCTACCGAGCCCTATGAACAAGAAGGAGGAAGTATGAGGAGAGTACGGGAACATACCAGGGAACTAGAGAGAGAAAAATGTGTTGGTGTTATTTATTTATTGTTTAGGTTTGGGTCCCAGGTGTGGTAGGACTGAGTTTGTTGCTAAGTAATAAAAAGCCCACTTACACATATTTAAAAGAAAACCTTATCCACCAACTTTCTCTCCTACTTCCTCCTCTTTTCTAATCACCCCATAACTCCTGTACCATATCCACTAAAGCATACATATCTCTTTGAAACCAAAAATCTAGATACGTAGAAAGCGCAGGTGTTCCTATTTCTACCACCACAGTGTGTATCAAAAAGTTACTGTGTATTATAATAAAAGTCAATGGTGCTATTGTTGTAAAACAGTCTGTATTTTTTAACAACCAGATACTAATATGTAGTGACTTGTATATATGTATATATATGTATATGTGTGTATACATATATATACAGTTTCTCAGAGAGAGCATTTCATCCTGGGATTTTGGATTTCAGCGTGATAAATGTCTCTGCCTCACCCCACCCTCCTGCTTCAACCCCCATATGTAAACAAACGTGCCCATGATGAGATTTTACAATCGAGGCATGTCCAATTTGGAGTTAATACTGAATTTAATTTTCTTTTTAGTTTTGTTTTGATATTTTAAAGCTACCTCACACTAAAACAAAAACTTCACAAATCAAACTAAGGCCTTCCCCTGAATTTCTTTATACAAAACTCTGTATTTTAGGTTAATGACCAATATTTTTGAGAAGCTTGGTCATAAAAGAGCCCAATCTGCTGCCCCCTAATTGCTGTGACCTTTGACCCCCATCCCTCTCTACGTCATCCCATCAGTCCCCTCACACAGGGCGTGCCCTCTGCCTCGGCATACACAGTCACACACACACACACACACACACACACACACACATACACACACACACGGTTGAAGAGATTCAGGGTGTGTTTGACTTTGTTGCTCCAGTTCTACAGCCAGCGCAGAGGGCTCATTTGTGTGAGGTTGTGTATATTTTTTATTATTAATAATAGTATTATTATTAATAATATTAGCATTATTATATTATTATGATCATGACTTGTTTTTGTTACGTTTTAATTAATGTAAATTGGAAATAAAAGACAAAACCAAGTAACAGGCTGAAGTTGCTTTTTATTTATATCCTGTTTTGTTCTCCCCCCTGTGGAAATATCTGAGGCAACGGTTTTTACTCATCCCCAAGGAAATTCTTTACAAAAAGCCACACCTAAACATTTCACTGTGCCCTACTTCCACTGTGTGTTTTTGTGGTGACATATTTCCAGGGGGAGAAACACCTCAGATTTCAAGAAAAGGCAGCGGAGGGATGAATGCGGGGTCATTTGGATTTTGTTTGATTGATTTTTGTTTGAAAAAAACAATGAAAAAGTTGAAGAAGGAGGTGGTGACAGTTCATTTCATGTACTTTTTAAAATATATGTAAAATAGTTTTTCATTCATTTTTCTTTTAGTTTTAATGCATGGTAGAGTAGAAATAGGAAACACTGCCAAGCATGATTAGCTCATTCTGTGAATTAATAATGTCTTCCTGTACTTCTATTACCTTTCTTCATCTTCTTGCCTTTTTTCCACCTAAAGTAGCAATAAAAGGTAGAAGCATTTCTATGAACAAAGTAGAGCAACGTTTCTTTTATTTTTTACATTTGTTTTTTTTTCTTCCCTAAAATCATTTTTGATAGATCATTTATTATTTCATGTAATGGTTTCCGATCTATGACTTTATCCTTGTTTGAATAATCAACATACAAACAAGAGAGAAAAACAAATCACTGGGACAGAAATACATCACCAATAAAAAATACCTACAGAAAAAACTGCACACAGAGGGCATGCTTGGTTCTTGAGTTTTGTAAAAAGGGGGGTTAATGATTGTACTAATGGTGGAGATGTATTTGGGAAACTCTGGCACATCAACATTAGATGTATGATTTGTGACAGGCGGGTAACATTCAGGAAATATTCTGAGTATGTAAATTTACACCAACAGTGCTTCAAAAGTGTATCCACAGTTTTCTTTTGTAACTCACAGAACAAATATCCAACTTCTTATTCAGATGTTTTAGCCTGTGGTCTACCAACCAAGACCAGGTTTTTACATGGACCAGTTATCATAACAATATCAATATGGTTCCACTCAAGTTTAATTCTAATTCACAGTATGTCTTCCTTCTGAACAGCACAAAGTTCAACTGGTCCTTCTCTGTAAATTACAAACACACACACCACATTAAGCACGTTACAGTATACAGAAAGTTAGTTCCTATTCTAGGTTTTGCCTCAGTTTTTACCACTTTTCCAACCCAGTTGTTAGATAAAATGGGGTACACTGACGTTTTATTACATCTATGAACACGTAGAGGGTTGCAACTGTACACTGTGAACCGTCACAGATTAAAGACGCAAGAATAAGAGTCTACAGCCATGCTAGCAGCTCTGAGGCTGTACTTAGGCACAGTGGTTCTTAGAGCTATATGCTAATGCCAGTATGTTAACATGCTGACAAGGACAATGCTAACATGCTGATGTTTAGCATGCTAAAATTTGCTAATTAGCACTAAACATATTGTATAGTTGCTTATGGGAATGTCATTAGTTTTGCAGGAATTTAGTCTTACCAAAGCGTAAATTAAAATTTAGGGGGTCACAAAAGTTTTTTGAAACATTAACTTCTGTACCAAATTTGATCATAATCCATACAATAGCTGTTGACCAACAGGATCAACAGACCAACATTTCCATAGAGCCATGCTGCTAGCATGGCTAAAACATCCTCTTAAATCAGTGGTTCCGAACCTATTTGGTTTGTGACCCCTTAAAACAAAGCAATGGCTGCTTCTGCCACTTATTATCCAATTATATGTAACAACAAAACATTAAGGGAAAAGTCTGAAAAAACTGAACCTAATTTTGTGTAGCAGAATTTTTTTTTCTGCTTAAATCTAATTTCTTGTTCTTGTTGGGGAACTTCCACCCAGGTTGGGAACCACTGATGTAAAGACACATTAAATGTTTTTGACAATCAAACTGAGAAAGGCCTTAAACTGTTTCTATTTGTAACAGTGAAGAATGACAAGTACTTTACAGTACATTAACCACACGATAATGCTCCGCAGGTATTGCCACAGTAAATATGATTATAATGAACTCAAGTGAAATTATAAAATGTGGCTGTTAATCCAGTCAGGTTTTGTTCCATTTATGTAGAACATTGAGCCAGATATTCGGTGCACCTACAGTATACACGTCAGGAATGGCATTAATCTTAACATTGCATTTGTTAAATGTTCTGAGAAAATTATTCAATTTATTATCAAAGTGTTTTGCTTATTTTAACAGTGGCTCTGAAAAAAAATCAATTATGATACAGCCTATGTGGAAAATAGGACACAGAACGATTTGTACACAGCAATCAGTGCAGAGAGGACTAAAAAGCAGGACTCAAGAGATTAATTAAAGCTAAACTAAAAGCTTCCCTCAGGATAAATGGTTATACTAAATTTTAACAATAATCCACTTCTAAATCTGGCTGAAATTTCTCTGTACCAATCAGTGACAACTATATGTACACTAAGCTGCCCAGATATTTTAGAGCTCATTGCTGCAGCATGGAAACAAAATAGTTTACCTCCTAATGGCTTCCTGAGAGTAAATTTAGATCAGCAGTTCTCCACTGGCACCGAAACAACTGGCTTAGTGGTTATGTATTGGGAAAGGCTTAAATAGCATTCGTGCAAAATCAATGTTATCGGAGTAAAAATGGCCGTAACAATGCACAAAAACACCACATGTGCACACACACACACACACACACACAAATGCAACAAGCAATTAGATTTTGACCTGGTGAACATACTCCAATTGATTAGTGCTTTTCAAGTGTTCATTAAGGGTCAGTTGGTTAAAGACTCCTAATTAGGGCTTAATGAAAGATAAAAGACCACAGTGAAAGAAGAAAAGAAAAGGAAAGAGGGACAACAGAGGGAGTTAGAAGGTTATAAAGTTCAAAGAAGTTTCTTTCTTTTCTTATTTCATCCTTTCATCTTCCATCTGCTGCTTTTTGTTTTTCCGTTTCCACTATTTTCTCTCAATGCACGTGGTAGAATTAGTAAACAAACACTCACTTCTCATTTTTCATTAAATTGAGGTAAAGAAATATCAAGAAAAACATGGGGGGGCTCAGTAGTAACAAATATAAAGAAATGTTGCAATCACAAAACACAGGTGTAAAAGGATAATTTCCTCTTTACCAGCATCTTGCACAGGCAGTTTACAGAGTTTATCAGTCACTCTCCATAAAAATGGGATTTTATTATTATTATTATTATTCCATTTAAATGACAACTGAGCAGGAGCTCAGAAACCTGTGCTTAGAGTGTCTGTCTCTGTGGGGGTCTTGCGCGGGCTGGGCAAACTCTTCAGGTACTCCAAATGCCTGCGGGCTTCGGCTTGGTTCTGTCTTACATAGTACACTACATACACGATCACCATAAAGAACCACACAAACATTGTCACCAGCATGGCTACATCAGTGGTTTTCCTCTGCAGGCTGCAGAAATTCACCCCAGAATCCAACAGTTTGACCAGCGGTTGACCTGCGTGCTCGCCCAGCGACCCCGGGTCCTCCCACCTGCTCCCTTCACCCACCCCCCGAACAGAGCTCTCACAGATGATCCCATTCACCGTCTCGGGCTCCAGGTTCAGAGTCTCCATGAGCTCCTGAAGGGCACAATCACAGTGCCAGGGGTTGTGGTAGAGGCGTGTCTTTGCACGAGTGGAGCCAAACTCCTCCCTGCTGGCCTGTCTCAGCTGGTTATGTGAGAGGTCCAGCAGGCGCAGCTCGGGGCCCAGATGTCGAAGAGCCCCAGAGGCGAGGGAGTCAATGCGGTTGTGGGACAGGTAGAGGTCACGCAGATGGACCAGGTCACTGAAGGCACTCTCAGGGATGTTACGGATGTAGTTGCGTTCCAGGTGGAGGGACACCGTTTCCGGTGGGATCCCCTCTGGGATCTCCCGCAGCCCAGCGTCTGAGCACAGCACCGTGGCCGTGTCCCAGGCGCAGTGGCAACTGTCCGGGCACTGGGGGGACGTTTGGCCCCACAGGGCCGTGAACAAAAACGAGACGCACAGCCATGAACGAAGATGCACTCCTTTACCTCTCCGTCTTCCTCCACTGCTGCTGGTACATCTCTCCTCACACCAGCCTGTGCACATCGCCTCACCATAGCCTCCTGACGCACACCAGGTCCCAATCAGACACCACACACGGTCGCAGCAGGAGAATCTGACAGATTGAGGAAAAAAGGGTCAGTCTGGAAGAGATGACTCTCCTTCTGTCTGTCTCTCTCTTTACAAACCCTTCAAACAAATGCAATCACTATGAACACTGCCAGGGGAGATTATAATGTTTAGGAGGAGAAAAGGGTCAGTGGGTAGAGAGATCGACAATGAAATGAGCTTAAGCTGGTTTATCTGATAAATACTGCACGGAGAGACACTGTAATGCACAGGACAACAATTTCTGGGTAAGAAAAACATCCCTTGTTATTTATAGCAGTAATGATAATTTAAGTGATGTAATGAAGGTTGAAACGACTCTTGTACGTCTGCATTAAAAGGACATTAATCATTATACACGACTATGTAAAATCCTCTCTCCCCTTTTAATGCTGTGTCCTTTGTGTGGCTCAAAATTCAAGACCAGAAGAAAAGCATCACATGTTATCATCAATTTATGTTCATCTAATTTATCCCTCTATTTATTTTCCCATGATGCCATAGCCCCTTAATCATAATCCAAGGAGAAAGGAGATGGGGGGGGGGGTGCATTGTAGGGATGGAGGTCAGAAAGGGGGGCGGGAATCGATAGCCCAAGTATTGCCAGCTACACTATTAACGGGAAGAACATAAATCCTGTCTGTGTCCCACAGTGTCAATAAGTGACAGAGCTGGAAAAAATAACCCAGCTGTAGTCTGAGTGTTAGCATCTGCTCACTAGGAGGCAAAAGTTTAAAAAAAAAAAGAAAATAAATCTGGCTAGACTCTGCATCCCATGGGCAAAACCACTGGAGAATACATTACATGTGTTATTTGTGTTAAGCTATTTCAGAGCCACTCAGCCTCATCTGCCTGTCTGTCTGACTTTTTATCTATGTGGGTCTGTAAATGGTGTCATTTCAGTTTGTTCACACAATCTAATCAAGTGGTTTAAGAATGTCGTTGTACAATATGAATGATGTCCTTGTTCCTAGGCAGAAATCACAATACACTCCTTGAATTTGATTAGACCATCCTCTTAAATGTCAAGCACTTTCTGCTTTCTCCTCATCTTTATAATAGAAACAAAACTGTCTCTATCCTCCTGCACAGACAGACAGCATACTCTAAAGGCTTCAACCCCTGACTAACATTGGCCTAGATTTGGTTGATAAGCCTAAAGGTGACTGGCTGACTGACTGACAGCCCAGTGATGCCCATCAAGTGGCCCTGTGTGTCTCATGAGCAGAGGTGAGGATTTAGTTCACCACTCATTAAGCGCCCTGTTATTAAAATACGGAACTGTAGATCCATGCAAATCCCCAATTAACAAAAACAATCATCTGCTGCATAATTATGAATAGGGATGAGAAAGCTTAAAAGACAGAGATGGAGAGAGGTGGCACTGCTGCTTACAGCTGATGCAGTTTCCAATTAGATATTTTTAATATCCGTCCCCATTTCTCAAAGTAAAGGACATAACTTAAATTAGAAAATATCACTGAGACTCCCTGCTATCTGAGTTCATCTCCAGTATCATACCTTGATTTTATCAGATTAACCTGCACTGAACATTTCCGAGGAAATTTCATTTAGACTATAAATTACATTAACCTGGGTGAAACGGGTCAACTGGACGATCCGAAGGTAAGAACAGCTTTTAGGTTCATGCAAGCAGACGAATATGGCTATTTTATGCGTCGTTTTTGCAACTTTTGAATCATAAAAATTAAGTTTGCAACGGCTTTAAAGAAAGCGTTTGTCCCTTTAGGTTACTATTAAAAAAGTTAATGCAAATTAAAGAGAAACCCACGACTACAACAGCAATATGGCCATTGATTAATATACCCAAACACATTTTAATAATTATATAGAATACCGATTTTACATAGCCTACGGACTTACCTGTAAAATGATTTCTTTTGAAGTTTGAAATCCGGAAGGTGGATAAATGTTTTGTTAAAATCCGTTTGTAGCTTTTCTTCGGATTTTTCCCGACTGCAGAGAGGACATCATCTTCTTCATCATCTTCTTCTTCAGTGTGGCTAAATTTGTGGGGAAACTATGTGAAGGGCATCAGTAGTGGATCCGTGGTTTGTCGCCTGCAGACGGCTTCATCACCGACTGCAGTAACAGAGGGTAGTTATAGCAACAAAGATGTGGGGCAAACCCTCTCCCTCTCTCTGTGCGCGTGCGTGCGTGCGTGCGTGTGTGTGCGTGTGTGTGTGCGTGTGTGAGAGAGACAAAGACAAATGGGAGGTGTGCCATCATAAGTTCTTCTTGTCCGCACTAGAGATGGCAAGGGTCACGGGTTTCTGAGAAGACACTGGTTGCGTCTATAGGAAGAATTAACTTAATAACCTGTAGGTATAATTAGATTCTTACATTCTTCCCTTCCTGCAAAATCTGATTGATTCGCGGACAGGTGAGGTTCACAGGTGATGAGGCAGACATTTTTAGAGAAAAGGAAGAAGAAAAGAAACCCTGTAAATAACCACAGCTTTTATACCTTAAATATTAAATGCCATGTGCCAAGTTGTGGACTTGCAATAGGTGCCAGACTGCTTAGAATGATGTGTCACAGCTGTCACAATAAGACAGAACAGAACTACTGACTGATGGAGCCCAAAGAAAACAACATTAAAGGGAAGATGCACCTCCTTCAATCACTCATGTCTTTTTTTCTCCCAGGCTTAGAATCGGAGGTCAGGCAGAAAGAGACCTTATCTATCATTGTGTAAAGACCTCAAAATACACTGACATCAAGTCGTGTGTTATATCACATATATCATGTTAAAAGTGAAGACCTATTTGAACACGTATTCATGTATGCAGTAGGCAAAAGCTCTACATTGCATACAAATAAATGCATGCATTCACAAAAAGGAGACGCTGGATAAAAGGCAACCTTGACCCTCTCACACACTTAACAGGGTCACAGATTTCCATATACATAATAAGAACACAAACACACACACAGTGACACATGATGTGGACAATGTTATTCATGGAGGTTCACTCTTAGGACGAGTGCCCTGCTCTCTCTCTTTGCTTTTCCACCACACGCAGCAAGAATATCTGCCGATCTACAGAAGAGCCCTCAGGGGGGAAAGGATGGGTCTGACAGCCATGATGGCACCTTGCATCCCTCCTCTGCCTCCCGAGCCTGTCCTGCTCCTATCAAACTGCTAAAAAAAAAAATAAAAAAAGTATGACATTTCCACTCCTGACAATTACAGAATGCTGTGTGTAAGTGTAATGCATTTGTTTCCCGCTTTATAGCATATTTTTTGTGAATGTTTTGTCCTTGACGGGTGATTGTCTCCGTGGTTGCCAGAGATGGGGCTGTGGACAGGCTGAGTTTTGTGTTTTTTTTAGATACAAAACAGGGGACAAAGGGGTGCATAATGAGAAAGCACATGATGGCAGAGAGAAAAAGTACTACACATTGTCTCTTTTTCAGGTCTGTGAGCTGAGAGTGAATGGAACAATGATGGGTGAGAAGTTTAATTTGCAACAAAGAAAAACAGAAATGGAAAAAAATAAGTGGAGGGGGGTGGTTGTGCACTGTCTATCTGAGATGTTCTCAGAGGAAGCCATTCTAAAAGATGTACATGCCTACGAGCAGTTTGTTGATGACAATGTTGACAATGTGAACTCTACTAGAAAACCTGACTTCAGTGAAGTGAAGCAGTTTGGCATCATCCGTTTGGTTTGGTTGTAGTCCTCCGAGGGGAAAACTGACTGAACCATACATAAATATGGAAACCGATGGAGGCAGTGGAAAATATCTGACAGCCAATGGCAGAAATCTACTCCTCTAAGAAAGAG